TTGGTTTTCCACTGGGGCGGTATACAAATAAACTATATTATTATATTAGATCACATAAATAAAGCTGCAGCCACAGTGCAGAAATAAAGCTGTTTGATACCACTTTAATTTCCATGGGTCAATGCTATGGATTTGTGGAATTTGTAGTTTTGTGAGATTTAGCCTTCCTTCTCAGAGAGCTCTGATTCTCCCACCAAACTACAGTTCCCAGAATTCCATAGCATTTAATTCCATTGAAGTTCAAGTGGTGTCGAACTACTTTATTTATATGATATAGAAGCAGCCCACACCTCATTCTGTTAGCATTTTTAAATGTTTGAAAGGTCAATAAGTTTAAATGCATGACAGGATTTGGACTGAATGCTTATCATCAATAACAACTTTAAGTAGACTAGATGGGCACTGTTTCATATGTCGACATTTTGGTTGGAAATTCAAATCATCCATCATCCCTCCAAACTGCAATATTGCCAGTGGTTTCTTTGAAGCCACTCTTTCCAGGCACAAACTTCCCCCAAACAGAGGGAAGATGTGACTGCATTAGTATTGTTGCATCAATTTTTAAAATGTATAAGAACTAAAAGTCATTTATGATTTCCATATGAAACAAGACCTGTGTTTGCTTTCCTTGCTATTGGTGGTATACACACCTCCTGGAACATACTTGAGGAGCTGTTGAGTTTGCAATCCACTGCTCCCATCAACCTCAATTGCTTTAGCCACTTGTGAAGGTTTACAAGAATTGCAGTCTCAGGGGCCTCATTTGTCAACCTCAGTTCTAGAAGTTGGTGGGGGAACATGATTTAGACATAGAGCTGAAAATGTTTCTTGGAGATGAAAAGTTTGGATATTTCTCGACAAGACAAGGAATGCATCCAGAAAGCTTCTAGAAGACATTCCAGACATATTTACATTTTAATCCCAGTTATTCTGTAGGTAACAGGCTGGACAAGTCAACTTGAATACTTTTTAGAAGAGGTGGAGAATTTCCAGTGGTAATGACTTTAAATTCCTCATATGGCTCACCACTCCCTCACAGCATTAGGTTTTCTAAGGGGGGTTGCAGACTGCCAGAAATAGTGCAAATTGAGTCCACTTTTAAGGTTAGGGTTAGTGCTAGGGAATCATGGGAATTGGGTTTTTTTCCTGAGACATTGAGCCTTCTCTGTGAGAGAGCTCTGGTGCCACAATAAAATACAGTTCCCATGATTTCCTAACCCTAACCCTAAAAGTGGACTCAATTTGCACTACTTCTGGCAGTCTGCAACCCCCTAAAAAGCCTTCAGCCTTTTCTAAAAAGCCTACTAGAAGGAGAAGAAACAGTGGATGACAGACAAAATGCTTCAAGCAGTTTAAGAAAGACGAGAAGCAAAAGAAAGGTGAGAAGCAAAAGGGAGACAGAAAGAAAATCAGAACCATGAATGCTACTGTCCAATAATTAGTGCACAAGGTCAAAGAAAATTACTATAACAATCAATGCAAAGATATAAAAACTGATAATAAAAAAGGAAGAACAAGAAACCTATTCCACAAGATTAAGGAATTAAAAGAAAATTCAAACCAATGGTTGGGATGCCCTATGATCAGAAGAGGAACATAATATACGACCATTATGAAATTTTTAAAATGATGGAAACAATACACAGAAGAGTTATATAAAAAAATGGAAAAAGATAAATGACACATGGCATGAAGAGACTTACAAAGATGAACCCCAAATCTTGGAAAGCACTCCAAGTGAAAGGTGCACCCAAAATAATTGGTAAAAAAAATCACCAGGCATAAATGACATAGCAATAGAACTGTTACAATCCTCAGAGACAAAATCAACCTCAGCTCTAACTAAAATATGCCAACAAATATGGAATACAAAGCAGTGGCTCACAGATTGGAAATATACATCCCTATACACAAGAAAGGAGACCAAGAAATATATTACAGTAACTACAGGATCATTGCACCCACGCAATGTTGTGCTCAAACACGCAATGTCAATGCTGTGCAAAGTCATGCTCAAACTTCTGTAGCAAAGACTCCAACCATATATGGAGCAAGAAATCCTAGAGGTGCAAGATGGATTTAGGAAAGGAAGAGGCATGAGGGATCACATCACAAACATATGATGGGTAATGGAGTACACCAGAGAATTCCAGAAGAAAATCTGTATGTTTTTATTGATTACAGCAAAGTCTTTGATTACATAGATCACAAAAAGCTATGGCTTGGTCTTTGAGGAATGGGAGTGCCCTTACATTTGATTATCCTGATGTGTAATTTGTACCAAGGACAAGAGGCTGCTGTTGGAACTGAATACAGACAAACAGAATGGTTCCCAATTGGCAAAAGGATCAGGCAAGACTGCATTCTGTCATCCTGTTTATTCAACCTACATGCAGAAAAGATTGTATGTAGAGCAGCCTCAGACTCAGAGGCAGAAGGGATGAAGATTGGAGGGAGGAACAACATCTAAAATATGCAGATGATACCATACTATTAGCAGAAAACAACAAAGACCTGGAACAATTACTAAAGAAAATCAAAGTGCTAAGGCAGGCTTAATGCTAAATATTAGGAAAACAAAAATAAGGATCATGGAAGAACTACATTAATTCATCCTAGATGACAATTAACTAGAAATAGTTTTAAAATTAGCCATATCTTGGATCAAACATTGATCAGAATGGAGACTGCACTCAAGAAATGAAAAGAAGACTAGGATTAGGAAGGGCAGTTCTGAAAAAACTAGACAAATCCTAAAGTGCAAAGATACAACACTGGATACTAAAGATAGGATTGTCCAAACCACTGTATTCGCTAACACAATGTATGGATGTGAGAACTGGAGAAAGCCAACAGAAAGAACATAAACTAATTTGAGATGTGCTAAAGAAGAGTGCTGAGGATACCATGAATGGCCAAAAAGACAAACGGGTCCCAGAACAGATCAAGCCCAAACTCTCCCTAGAAGCCAGGATGACTAAATTGAGGCTGTCATCCTTTGGCCACATCATGAGAAGACATGACTCATTAGAAAGGGCAATATATTAGGAAAGGTGAAAGGCAGTAGAAACACAGGAAAACAGGATGAATTGACTCAATCAGGGAGGTCATGGACCTGAGCCTGCAGGACCTGAGCAGAGTGGTAGAGGACAAGGTGTCTTGGAGAGGTCTAATTCACAAGATCGTCATGAGCAGAGGTTAACCCACAGGCAGTTAACAACAAACAACAGCAACATATCCATTTATCTGGAAGGCCAGCAATTCTATATGGAAAAACAACATGCCTGCAACACTGTTGTTTCTGACCGCAGGGCCCCAAACATTTTAATTAGTTAAGAGAATATGTGTAGGGGGATATCCTATTACCTTAGGAAGTGGAGTGGGAAGTGAATAGAAGGACAGACCAAGTAAGCAATGGTATGATGGGAAAGACAAGTGAGAAAGAAAGAGTAGTGGTGGAGGAAAAGAGAAGAAGTCGAGTAAAACAAACAGAGGGAGCATCTGCATGGACGAGAAAAGGTACAGTGCTAGAAAGGGTAAAGGTAGAGAAAGAATACCAGGATATTAGTAGGTGAGGGTAGAGAAAGAGCACATAGATGGGTAGGAGGGAAAGAGTTTCATGTGGGATTAAAAGTCTAAAATGGGTAGGTACTTTTGCTAGTTAAAAATCATCTCTATTAGGGACAGGGATCGGATGGAACTCTGCAGTACAG